AGAGCTGGAGCCAGAGCTCCACGTGCTGGGCAGAAGCTGCCAGGGTGAAGCTCCTCTCCCACCGCCCACTGCCCGCACAGCAGGGGCAGGAATGGGAGGGGGAGTAGCTGCTGGAGGTGAGGGGAAGCTGGCTTGGCCCAGCAGTATTGTTCTGCTCCCCTCATCTCCAGCTGCGGCTCCTGCTTCTGCTGCACCATGTAATGCCGCTCAGGGCATGCATGGAAGCTTCAGGCCAGCGCAAGGAGCTCTGGCTCCAGCTCCGGTTGCTTTCCATCTGCTCCGCCTGCCCAATGCGATGAGCAGCCTGTGTGGGCAGAGCAGGTGGAAGGTGTTCAGGAGCTGGAGCCAGAGCCCCAATTGCTGGGCAGAAGCTTTGGGGCTGAAGCTTCTCACTTGCCCACCCAGAGCAGTGCGGCAGCAGTGGCAGCTGGAGGCAAGGGAGGCAGAATAGCACCCCGCAGCCCTGCCCAGCCCAGCCCATAGCTTGTGCAGCTGCAGCCACTGGGTGCTGGACAGGACAGGGCACAGCGGTGGCTGCGACAGGTGGCTGCTGGGCTCGGTGCCTGCTGGTCCTTCTGAGCTGGCCTGGGCAGCCCACTACCTGGCCAGCTCCAACCCATGCTGCCAGGCCAGGCTGTTATGGAGCCACAGCTGGCTGGGAAGGGCCCTGTCCCCAAAGCCCAGGCTGGACCGATCCCAGGGGGCCCTTCCCAGCTGGCTGCAGTTTCATAACAGCCCTACTTGGCCTGAGTGTGGGGAGCTAGGAGCATTCTGGCTCCACAGCCCCCACTGCCCCAGCCCGAGTTGCAGCCTACTCAGATGGGCCCAGCCTTTGCAGCCCAACCCATGCTGCGTCTGCTTTCAGTAGTACCCGCAGGCTGGCTCGGCTAAGCCCCGCAGCTGCAGCCCTGGCTCTGGGCAGATAGAAGGGCCATGCCAGCTGGCTGTGGCTAGGCCCCCTGCTGCAGGATCAGGGGAGAAGATGGGCAGACTCTGGCTGGGGTCCTGTACCCACCCAGAGATGGGAGTTTAATCCCCTCCCAGCCCCCGCCTCCCTTTTGCCTCAGCTGCTGCCACAGCTGGCTTTGGGGACAAGTCTGCAAGGGCTGCTTCCCCACTCCCCCTCCAAGCACATCCTGGCTAAAGTCTCTACAGGCCAGGGTGGGGGTTTAAATCCCACCCCAATCATACTTAACCCTGTGGGTGGTGGGGGAGCTGGCCACACCCTCCAGGTCAGCTTCCCTCCAGCCTTATGGCTGCTGTAAAAGGAAGGGAGGGCTGCTCTAGCACCTCCTGGCTTCCAGCCTGAGCCACTGCAGGCATGTGCCTGCATTTCTGGAATCAAAAGTGAATATCTATTAATTTCCAAATTGGTTCAGTCTTTGCAGGTTAGAGTAACCTGCAAAGACTGAATCAATTCAGGCTCTGGCTTTTTGAATATCTGTCCCTAGCCTTTCAGGGATGGCTCATGGATATTCTAAAACTGACCAGTTCATTCAGATTGTCTCTTCTATCACATCCAATCACGGAGTCCCCGTTCTATTGGAAATCTAATTAGTCCATAAGTGTGTGACTTTTGAGTTAGAGCTATTAAATTTTCATAGAACTTCTGTTATTTTAGTTCACAAAACTATCTGTTCTTCCTGCAGTGTGGTCTTCTCTCTAGGAAGACCATCTAGCTAAGCGTCATATGCATTTTGTAAGCACAGTCAAATTCCTGCATCCAAGATACTAATGAAAACTTTTTAACAGTTAGTCTCAGGAGCCTGAAAAACACCACTAGTAATCTATCTCTAATCTTATAACTCCCTTTGTTGGAGTACCTGTTGTACTGTCGCTCTCAGACATATCCTTATATATTATGCACTTATTTTTATTACCCAACTTTGCCAATACTTTTCTAAAAGGTACAGGATCAAATACTTTGCTTAAATATAAATGGGTTAGGGCCACTGCATTGCCTTTTCTAAGAAAGCAGTGATTAAATTCATCTAGCACAATCTTCATGGACAAAATCCTGCAGTGTTTTAACCTGTTTTTAAACCTCCATGACTGTCTTATTCTTGTTTTCTAAGACTTTGATTTTCAAGCCTATGAAAACTGACCGGATTATAGTTGGATTGCTGTCTCATTCTCATCTCTCTCACCCCCTTTTTTCATGTTGAATATAGACACTATGTTCTAAGTATAGGTTTTAAAAGCTTGACTAATTTTAAAACTTCATATGTATTTTCTCTCCCATTGGGATGTAAATTTGGCTTCAGAGTGAAGCACAGCTACATAAATGGAGAGGAGAACATTCTTCTCATGATCAAAGTTGATAATCTTGGGGTGGATTCAAAATCCGTTGTAAATAATGATTTAAATCACTGGTCAGGATGCCTCTGTTCAATCATTGTTTTCTACAAAAAGTGCATTCTTGTTGTTTGATACCTTTTGTTCATTTAACTTGAAACTTTGAACTTTTAGAGAAAGGTAAGGGCTTGACTGTGTGTACACAAACTTGCAGAGAGCCAAGAGGGCTGATGGGTGGGTAATCACCAGTCACTGTTATGTCATCCCCTTATACTTCTGTTAATTAGGATGTTACCTCTGGAGATGACAAACTCTCGCTATGCCTGAAGAAAGGGCATTTGTGCCTGAAAGCAAAGAACAATTTTTCCAATTATTTAGTTGGTCGAATAAAAGATATCATATTTACCCAAAGAACATTGTTTGCCTATGATCTGTGGAGACACAAATCCAGTTTGAGAACTAAAAACAAGCATCACAAAGATGCTTAATGGGATCTTCTAGACTGAGCACTGACTCCCATTGGATAGAGTGGTTTTCTTTAATGTTTACTAATCTATACAGGAGCCTCTGGGACCTCATACGATTGGGCCCTAATATAGTCCATGGCCTGTTGTGACCTATTTATAAAACTTTTCTAAAAAGGTTACATGAATATATTGTCTCATAGTATATAATTAGAAGTTATAATCCCTATTCTATTGATGATATCTTTGAGCTTTAACATATCTTAAATTAAAACTCTTTATGTTTGTTTGTTTTTAAAACATCTTAACAAAAAATAAGATTAAATTAAAAAAATCTGATTTAAATAAAAAAAATCTGATATATTTTTTTTTTAATTAAAAATCATTTAGTTAGTTGTTTTTTTAATCCACCTTGGATAGTCTTGAATCCTACTAATAAGCAAATGCTCCCTTTCCTTTCTATCCCATGTTCTCTTTTTTTGTTAATTCTGTTCACACTCACCATCAGCAGCGTAACTGGGGATGGGGTGTTAGGGGGAGCAACAGGAGCAGCAGCACCAGGTGCTGTTTTTGGTGTGTGTGGGGGGAGGGGGGCATAAAAATCCCCATCACCATACTGGTGGCTGTGCATACTGTTGCAGTTGGCACTGTCCTGCTACATCTCTTCTCAACCCCCTTGCTTGATGCCTGAGTTAAAAGTTCCTCTTTTCTCAGTACAGTTTAGAAAGGAAGTATTTGTGTTTTGATGATGCACAGAGGTTTCTCAAACTGAAAGGAAATATAGAACTTGCTTGAAAGGACAGTCAGCTAATTTCTTCTCCTCTAGTAGGAGTTCAGTTTATTATGAACTATACCAGATTTTTCTCCCATTTTGTAGGCGTAGATATACCTGTAAGACTGTCGCTGTAAATGGGTTACTTTGTTTTATAAATGATTTCTGATTTGCCTGGGTTTGGGGTTTTTTTTGTTTGTTTGTTTTTTTGGGGGTGTTGCTTAAAAATGCCTCCTAATTTCTTTTTTAAATACATATTTAATACTCTGGCATCAGGCAAAAGCAGTCAAGCATGTTTATTTGTTTTAAGAGAATCAAAGTACATTTTATTGTTACAAAGGTGACTTGTACATTTCATGTTTAAGTGCATGCTGCCCTCTGCTCTGTTATGCGCATCGTGTCTTCAGATGTTTAAAAATAAAGAAGTGACCTAATAAGCAATTGGTGGTATAGAACAAAAATAATCAAAGGTTTAGTCAATAACTCATGGAGTTTTGTATTGATAAATTAATTAAACAGATTTGCCTGTGTTCCTCAAGCCTAATGTGGTCCTGTTATGATTAGTTTTATAGAAAGGAGTGTTGTAACATTGAATGAAGGTAAATGATAAAAGAATAGCATAGTCACGAAGCCCTAAGTGCTCCCATTTCTAGTCACAGAGTGGTTTCAAGGAAAGAAGGCTTTCTTTGCACACCTGCAGTCATTCAGTGCATAGGCCTCTTGTGGTCAATGTTGATTGCTGCTTGTCTGTAGCAGAACAACAAATAATTTAGTGTGGTGTAACCTTCTGTGATTTAATATTATGCTTTTTGCCAGAACTGGCACAAAAATCTGTCTTTGGATAGTGACAATAATTATAGCACAGCTGTAGTTAAGGGTCTTTCAGAGTTTCCATTATAAACCCCTATAGTCAGTTTATAACAAACATGAAATTGTATTCTGTGCTTACTTGATATACAGAAGCTTTGCCTCAGTGAGTTCTGGTATAATTTTTTTAAAACTTGAAAAGATATGGGGGAAATTGAATTAAGTTGAATGAGTACAAAAGAAATAATTCACTAGGAGTTTTTGTTTTCGTTTTCCCTTTCTCCTTAATCCTTGGATTGTGCATCCGTTATCAGAAATTGTGGGTTGGTAGCATCTTTTGAATACTCCTAAAAGGGCAAAGACAGCTCTGATTTCCTTTACTTTTCTTAATATTAAAGGATTTTTTACTTGTATTGCAAATCTAGTAAAACAAGAAGTTTTGAATAACTGACTGTTTTTGCTGAGGTGCTGAGCGTGTGATTACCCAGGGATGCTTAAATTACATTCTTTGGAATCCTACCTACTTCCCAGCTCTGTCTTGCCTTTCAAAGAACAAGTGTATTTGAGAACTTGTCTAGTCTTTTATGCAGCTTTTTAAATTTATCAGGTTTTGATGTTCATGCTTTTGGGTTTTTTTGTTTTTTGTTTTGTGCGTGTATTAGATAAAAAAGCTAGTGTATGTTTATCTGATGCGATATGCAGAGGAGCAGCAGGACCTGGCATTGCTGTCCATCAGTACCTTCCAGCGTGCTCTGAAAGTGAGTAAATATATAGTACATTATACGTGTATAGCTGTCTGATAAATGCATACTTTGCTTTAACCGAATGACCACAGTTGGCACTCAAGACGCTGCCTGTTGCTTACGTTATAACATACATGGGTTATCTGCACAGACTGCTTAAGTACGTGCTACCTTTCAGTCCTAGTGGCACCTCTTAACTACACTTGGACTCTTTTAACTGCAGAATAATTAGCAGTACAAAGGGTGAAGCAAAAGCAGTTGTCAAATGACTATTTTTAGAAGCCTTGAAAATGAGGGAAACTAATCAGTTTTTGGCTGCTAATATCCCACCACTGGCAGTGCTACAGACTTAATGGGCACTCTAACATTTACTTTGGCTAAGTGCATAGCCTTTTCCAGTCCTGAAGATACACACTCAGATGAAGAACATTGTAGTTAAAAGTGTAGGGTGTATTCTAATGGATTGTTACAAAATAATGGAATTCCAGTTTAGTAAGAAACACTGTGTGTGGCAGTTGATGTATTAGTTCAAATGTGAGTCATGTGACATGACAGATTTTGTTGTGCTTTTTTAATAACTATCAATAAAGTAACTAGTAGTTAAAGAGTTCTGTGGGGAAAAAAGCAGGATGTAGATTATCTACTTCAAAATGTTACACTCTTAAACAGAAGCAGGAAGTAAAACTACCATTAAAACAAACAAACCTGTTTTTTACCAGGGTCTTCAAAGACTAGAAGTACTATGTTTACTCAGATGCCACATACACCTTTCCCCTCAAAACAGCCCTCAAAGTGGGATGTCTTTAAGCAGGGAAGCTGATTTTTTTTCTTCACTAGAACAAAAGCATGGAGGTGCTGTGCTGTAATGGCTGCTACATCTCTTGGCAACAAGTAGTAGGGGCAGAGTCAGTCGCCACGTGTAGGGAGTGCATGTGCATCCCCTGTCAGGTTGTGCTCCCTGTGTAGGTGAACGAGCAGGGGAGCAGGTGGGAGTGCTGGTGCTCCCCCCATGAGTGCTGGCTGGGGAGCGGGGTTGCCAGCAAAAGTGGCTGCACTGCTTCCGGAAGTGGCCACTGGACTCCTGGAAGTGGCACAGCTGCCTTTTAGTGAGTGAGATCTGCCATCAGTGCAGTTGGCCTCTGGGAGATGCCCCGCCCCCTGTCGCTGACTGTTGTCAGGGGGGGCATGTGCTCCCCCTGACTCAAATGGCACCAGCTGGCCATGGGCAGAGTCCAGAGTTAACCCTTTCACAATTGCTGCAAATTGGCAGTAACTTTTAGCTGAGCAGCCAAAAGTTGCTACCAATTCAGTAGTAGTTCTGAAAAGGATGAATGACACTGTGTAGTTTTTGCCTGAAGATCCATTGAGTTGGCTGGGGGTGAGTGACCTGCTGCATACATTCAGCTCTCAGGCATGACTTGGGAATGGGGGGGATGGACACTTTGTATTCTGTAGTCTATCTTCCAGAAACAAGGTGTGTGTCTCATTTCAGGGCATGTGATACACAAGAAAAATATGATGCATCTGTGTCCAGGTTTTTCCTTCTTCCCAGGAAGGTCACCAGTGTTCTGGCTCTCTTCCCTAAGTCCAGTAGGAATTTTTAGTTTTTTGCTAATAAACTTTGGGCTTATAAATTACTACAAAACCTTTAGATGCCAGATTTAGAAAAATTGTATGGTATCTGCATAACCCTGAACTTATAGTCTGGTTAGTAATGAAAAATGGTATTCAGGTAGATTACTATGCCCGCAATGGTTATAATAAACTCTCTGCATATGTTTTAATGCTAAACTTGTGTTAACATTTTTTTTGTTTTAGGATCCTAATCAGTTAATCCGTGCAAGTGCTTTGAGAGTTTTATCCAGCATCCGTGTGCCAATTATTGTTCCTATAATGATGCTTGCTATTAAAGAGGCATCCTCTGATTTATCTCCTTATGTTAGGAAAAATGCAGCCCATGCAATCCAAAAACTGTATAGGTAAGTAGCTTTTTACCATGAATACTCAAAAGCAATTTTAAAAATCATTGAAGACTCTCTTGTTTTGTTATAAATCTTCCAAACTGCCTTTTTAAAGAGGCAAAGAGGAGCAAGTTTTCAAAGGCACCTGATCACCCACCTCCCATTAGGTTAGCAAGAGTTTTAAGTCCCTTTTGCAAATCTGTCCTCCAATTCAACATAATGAATGTTATGCTGTGGTTATGTAACCTTTTTTCAATGTAGAAGGACATCAATATATGCTGTTGTCATTCAGTCTCTTTAGGTCTTTGTGATTTCTGCATTGATATACAAGTGTAGCAGAACTGTTCCAAACTTTAATCATGATTCATTTAGGATCAAAGTTAGGATGATGAAGTATCTCTACAGGATCATGTAGAGAAATTAGATATTAACAGCTGCTGTGTGCTCCCAAGCAGCAGCTTTCTTTTCCCCTTTAGTGCAGCTAAAATGTATGCTTGTCCATGTGCTGAAGCAACTAGTTAAAGTTAAGAACTTCTACCATGTTTATAGTACTTGTGGATTAGAAGAACATTGAGTACTTCAGAAATGGAAGCTTTATTTACTCTACTAATTCTAATATTATAAAAGCCTCTGTCTGTCTGTCACGCTTTATTTGCACTCTGATTGGCTGACTCAACGTGGGCCTGGGCCCAACACG